GGCACCAGTGCACAATTGCTGCTTGTGCAATGTGCTCTGTAGCATATGATTGACGTGCTTTGAGCCCTGCACTCCCAGTTCTTGTTATGATCACGTCACGCAGCGTTAGGCCCAGGAATTGCAGTGAACTGGACGGGCTGTGTTGGTTTGGATTGTGGAAGCTTGTCGCTGCGTATTGGTGTTTCTGTACAGGCGCCCATAGCACCTCCTGCAGCGATAAAAAGGGCCGAGTGCTGTGAGTAGCTCAAAAATGGCCATCATTTTCCACAAAAACCTGCCATTTTGACCCTTTGAAGTCCATCAATTGGGATATGATAACTAGGAGGAGAGCCCAACAATTGATGGTCTCGAATTTCCCGTACTCGTTCAATGCTATCTGCTCTGCTGGCTGTGACATCTGCTCCACGTGCAGAGTAAGAGTGCAGTACTGTTCTGTTGTGACTACTCCTTGTCACAATGAAAGCTAGCTCAACATGTCCTCAACATGTCTACATGTCTGTAAATGCATATCAAGCGCCGCTACATTTCAAAAGCACAGATATCACAGACGACTGTACGGTACTGCAACGGTGCTGTACGCGTCAATGTACGAGTCTCTGTTCACGCTAGCGTGTATAGGGGTGAAACTCCCCGGAGAATAGCGAGTGGCTGTAATTACTATCAGCCAACCGAGCGTACCTCATCTCGCAGCCTCGCTGCTCCGTGGTACTTATAGCGCCATCGTGAGCCTCTTTCCAGCCCCCTCTCCTGGCCATGTCTATTTCTCTTGCTGGAGAAATTCCCCTCAGCCTAGGCGGTGACATATTCTAGTAAGTACAAACAGAATACTTTGAAGCTATGAGCGTACAACCCGAACAACCCGCGGACAGCGGCGCGCCGGTGCCCCGGCCCCCACGCCTCCGGCTGTCGCAGCTGTGGCGCGCCCTGCGCTAGCTGTGCGAGCAGCGTGGGAGAGTACCGTGCCCTCGCGTCGGGATTATGGGGATGTTGTCGCGGAGCTCAACTCCCTCAAGTTGGTTGGAGAAGGGAGTGTATTTGAGCATGGCCCCTATGTACCCGTCACACACATGGGTTACTTCAACCCTGCTGCTGACGCTTTCGTCTTCGAGCTGCGGTCCAGGGACCGGCGCTCGGCCAAGGAATGGGAATACGTAAACGCTGCTGGCGTTTGGACCGAAATGGGACTCTCCGCTCTCATAGTTGCTAAGGATCAGAGCGAGGACGTTCCGAGCATGGCAAGGAAACTGGCCTTGGCTGAAAAGTCTATCCGTGCTGCCCTCGAGGTACTGTCTATGCGGGCGCAGTATTTCAGGGACATCATGGACCAAGGAGTCGAGGCAACTCGCCAGATGGCATTCCTCGTGGAACAGGGGCATGAAGCTGTGTTCTCAGATTCATACGAGTCTGCCCGCGAGGGGCTCACTTCTAAGTTGGAGATTCAGGCTGCAAAGATGATTGCCAAGAACCGGTTAGAGAAGACTACTGGTATGAAGAGCGCTGGACCCTCCGCCCGGGACGGGTTCAGACCGGAGTAATGTGCCTAAAAAGAGATGGAAACGCTACAAAGGGTACGGGGGGAGCACCTTTGTGGCGGGGGAGGGCTCTTAGGGCGGACGTTTGGCGTTCGGAGTTAGGAGTCAACGACTACATCGCCCGTCAAATCCGCTACGGTGTATTGGACATGCCGACGGTGCCCTTCGAGGACGGTACCGTACTAAGCGAGCTCCCTCAGATGGCGGAGGACAGGCAATTTGCCACGGAGGACCTGGCAAGGGGTTGCCGGGAGGGAGTGTGAGAGGAGGTAGGGTTTGAAGAGGCCGAGGCCCTTGCGAGAAGGGGCAGGGTGATCTTGTCAGCCTTCACGGTCTGGCAAGGCGAGGGCGAGGACCGCAAAGGAAGATTTGTAATTAATTTCAAGCGGCAGAGTAAGCACTGGCCGAAGGGGTCAGTCAAGATGGAGACATTACAGTACTTCGCGTGTCAACTGCAGGAGGGGGATTTGCTGATGTCCTGGGATATCAAAAGTGGGTACCGCCACTTTTATCTCCCTCCTCGCATGAGAAACTTTTTCCTCTTCCGATACAACAGTCGGTACTACCGTTGCATCGCGCTACCGTTCGGCTGGGGGCGCTCTGTTCTGTGGTTCACCAAGCTTCTCCGTCCTTTGGTAAAGCACTTGCGAGAGCGCCTCGGGTACCGCATCCTACAATGTACATTGACGACTTCGCGTGTGTGCCGTCGCCGCTGGGGAGGACATCGACAAGACAGGACTGCGCGCGCGCCGGGAGGAGACTGTCAAGGCTGTTCGCAAGGTTGGGGCGCGTCAGATATCCGGGGAAGGGATGCTGGGAAGGGACGACTACGCTGGAGCATTTGGGTTGCGTGGTGGATACTGTCGTGATGAGGTTGTTCGCGTCCGACAGCAAGGTAGCCCGCCTTCGCCTGCTCGCCAAGCAGCTCCTCTTGCCGCGCAAAGGAACCGCCGGTGGGTATCGTTGAAGAAGCTGCGGCATTTTTGCGGAGTGGCTGTGTCGATGACACTGACCATTCCGCTTTCGCGGTTCTACACAAGGAGCCTCTACTTCGACATGGCACTGTCCGGACTACTGGTGGAGCGCGAGGAGCGAGGGCAAAGTCGGACGGCTGCGTCGCGGGCCGAGCTTGCAAGGCCCGCATATGCACCGTGTGGCCCGTGTGCACCGTGTGCTCCGTGTGCTTCGTGGTCACCGTGGACACGGGGACGCAACAAGGTGCCACGACCAGTTTCAAAAAGTGCGCCTTTGCCGACATTCGCTTCGCGACTTGCGCCACTGGCGTTTGCTGACAAGGAGAGAAGGACGCGAATTGGTCAGGCTGCAGCCCGACCTCACGTTGCACTCCGATGCTGCCGACGTGGGGTACGGAGGGACACTGGGATCGCAAGTGTTGGCGGGCTCGCGGGGTTTGTGGGAGGGTCAAGGCTTTTGGACGGCAGCCGATCGCGCGCACTCGATCAGTTTGAGGGAACTTCGGGCGGTTCGTCTGCTATTACAGAGGCACTTTGCCGCGTACGTCAGCCGACTGGACGTTCAGCGCCTCTTGCTGCACGAGGACAACCAGGCAGTCTGCTTCATTTTGAACGCCATGGTGTCCGCTTCCAAGCCAATGATGGCGGAGCTACGCCGGCTTCAAGTTATGCTGCAAACCCTCGGGGTGCGGATCGAAGCCCGGTGGTTGCCGTCCGCGGTCAACCGGTTCGCCGACGCTCTCTTCCGGACCTGGGATCCTGGCGACGTGGAGGCGACGGACCAGCTGCTGCAGTCGATCCAAGACGAGTACTAAGTGGACTCGGTGGTGTTCGCTCATCGCCCCGTCGGAGAGACGGCAGTCGCGCGACGGAAATACCTGGCGACGCAGATGCTGGAGGACTGAGGAGACGGGAGGGCGCGCTTGTGGAATCATCCCTTCGACATGCTCCCTCTAGTCATTCGCAAGGTGACAGCGGATGGTGGGGAGGACGTCCTTGGGGCTCCCCACTGGCCAGCGCAAGCCTAGCATCCGCAGTTGGTGCGTCATGCCACGACGGTCAAGGTCCTCCATCCACAAGGCCCTGACCTTTCTCTACTGCGGAGTTCGAAAAAGCTCAACGCCGACTGGTCCTTCGTTCTCGCCACAATAGCGTGAGGGTGGTCTGGTAGGAGGGGATCAGGGATGCGGTATTGAGCAGGTGCGGGGATGATGGTGCAACGGGAAGCGCCCAGGCCGCAGCAGACTTGCTTTCCAACTACGGATGGAGTGACGGAACTTGGGCCAATCGCTCCAGCCAGATCAAGAAGTGGTTTACCTTCTGCGACGAAGATGGACGAACGCGGCTTGGGGCGAAGGAGGGGGATGTTCTAGCATATATCAGGTACTTGCATCTCGAAGGCAGGGTCGGTCCGACGTTAGTGGCGCAGTACGTCACTGCCGTATTTCGATACCACGAGCTCCTCAAATTCGATTCCCCAACTCATACTCCCATGGTATCGGCTCTTGTCTGCGCATATGCGAACAAGGACGATCTTCAAGGCGTCGTTCATATGGCCCGGGTTGGGCTCCCGGCAGCCCTCATGAGGCAGATTGTGGAATGTGGGCTATCTGCTGAGGACATGGACACGGTGGGCTATTGTGCTACAGTGGTGTTCGCATTTGTCTTTCAGGGCCGGCCGGTGTCTGTCGCCTATCTGGAAGACAGCGACATCACCATAAATGCAGAGGGAGTGAGTGCGGTGATCACTCACAAGAAAGGCAAATCTCGGTCCCGACCACTACGTCTTTCACTTCCAACCAACCTTGTCTGGACCTCTACTGCCTCGCCAAACGCATTGCTTTCGAAATGGCGCTCTTTTCGTCCCGCCAATCTAGGTTTCTTCAATTTCAGATGTGAATAAAAGGTCGGCACTGCCGATCTCGGCATCGCGGTTGAGAATGCCGTTGCCTTCGTCAACGCCGCTCCGCCGCCTGGTTGCTACTTCGCATCGTACAGCGCCCGTATCGGTGGCTTCAACGACCTGCTCGTCTTCCAGTTCAGTCGCCAATGGATTATGACCCGTCTGGATTGGGCATCGCAGGACCAGTTTTCTGTTTACTTCGATAGCCGTATTATTGTCACCGTCGCTTCGGAGTGGTTCTTTGCGCACATGCTACCGCATGTCTAGCGCTCTCCGTGCATCCGCTACCGCTTTTAAATGACCCCTTCGCGTCTCTGTACACGCTAGCGTGTATAGGGGTGGAACTCCCCGAAGAATAGCGAGTGGCTGTAATTACTATCAGCCAACCGAGCGTACCTCAACTCGCAGCCTCGCTGCTCTGTGGTACTTATGGGGCCATCGTGGGCCTCTTGCTAGCCCCCCTCTCCTGGCCGTGTCTATTTCTCTTGCCCGCCTAGCCCCGGCTGCGCAGCCCTCTTGGTAAAGTTTAGTTTCCTTTCTCATCATGTCTTTTTCTCTTTATGTTTTCTTTATGTTTTCCAGTTCGGTTTAATGGTTTGTGTAGCCTTTGTGTGTCCCCTCTTAGCCGATGTCTACGAATGGGCGACTCCGAAAAACATAAATTGTGTACACACAAATTTCCTTGTGTATGTGTGTCGTATTTTGTGCCTTGGCACGGAAATGCATGTGAACAAAAATTTGTGTAAGACACATTTAATGCCAATTCACCCTCAGTGAGGTGTCAGCACGCCGGCGGACGGATTGCGGTACCCCCCTTCACGCCCTATCCTATGATACTGACGAAGGAGCCGCCGGCTTGGGGACAAATATCGGGTGCCGGCTCCTCGTCGGAGTTGGCAACATGAGCCATGTAGACGTTGGGCTGCGGGGTTGGACAGCGGCTGATGCGACGGAGGGAAAGTGTGGAGGGAGGCCAGATCGAAATAGGAATGAGGTTGCCGAGGGGTGGGATGGGTTGATCGGACAGATCGCAGAGAAATATTTGAGCACATGGTATGATATAGGGTGGTATAGGTGGGTGCGGATGTGCGTTTGTGTCTGTGCACAAACAATTACATCGGGAGGGGAACGAAGAGCAAATCGGCGGTTTGTTGTATGCACAAACACCTCCGACTCAATCAAAATCGGCGGATTTGCGCATGCACAAAATGTGTTTTTATGTTTTTCGGAGTCGCCCAATATCTTCACCGTGTGTATAGGGGTGAAACTCCACGGGAAATAGCACGCGTCTGTAAGCACTTACTGACAGCCGGGCGTCTCGCTGTACCCGCCTCGCCGCCGACCCATAAGTAGTACTGTAGAAGCGAGCTGTCCTATCCCGCTACCTCTCCTCCCTATGTCTATTTCTCTCCCACCCATCCCCGGCACTGCCGCCCTCGTGTCGTGTCTCCTTTTTCATCATGTCTTTTTCTCTTTCTTTGTTTTCCTTTTGATTCTTTCGTCCTTTTTAATGTTTGATTCGTCCTGTTCTACTGTAGCGCTACTGTACTGTAACATGTTGGATCCTGTTTAGCTGATGTCCCACTGACCATTCAACCATCGTAAAACTACGAACATCTTAATAATTATTTACGGAACAGTTGCGGGATTGCTCT